AAACCCTAAACCCTAGAATCCCTAAGCCCTGAACCCTATAATCCCTAAAACCCTAAACCCTAGAATCCCTAAACCCTCAACCCTATAATCCCTAAAACCCTAAACCCTATAATCCCTAAACCCGAAACCCTGGACTAAATATGAGGTAACTTGGATCCTAGATTCGGTTGAAGCTCTTTGGAGCGATAGGGATATATATATATATGTCTATAGTAAACCCTTAATCCCTTAACTCTACACCCTAACACCATCTGCTTCAATTCCGGCCCAGGTGATGGAAGAGCCAGATGGATATCAAGCCGTGGATATGGATGTGGATGATGAGGATCTCAGCAAATTCTTGCTGCAGACTGCGGAAACCCAGGATCCAACTGTTCTGCAGAAGCCCAGCCCTTGCAGAGTTCCAAGCCCAGGCATGAACGCAAGTCCCCAGAAGTCGATCCCTCAGAGAGTTCCTAGCTCTTCTGGCATGAACACAAGTCGCCAGAAGTCGAGCCCTCACAGAGTTCCTAGCTCTGGCATGAACGCAAGTCCCCAGAAGCCGAACCCTAGCAAAAGTCCCCAGAAAAGCCTCGAGGAGTTTTTCCACCAAAACCCAGGCCAGGAAGCTGCAACCCCCAAGAAGGTTCCTGAACCCAGCTTGGAGACCCCTCCGAAGCCTACGGCTGCCTTGGGTACAGACTCGGTGGTTCTTGCGAAGGGGAAGGCTGGGAAAAGTGTTGGGCTACCATTAGATTGGCAGGGTGTTCTGAGGTTTGAAACTAGTTGGGGTTGTGCCAGGAGTGATAAGGGGAATTCGGACGGAGTGCTACGTGGTAGCATTGCTCGCAGAACATGTGTACCTGGTTGTGTGCCTTTTAAAAAAAGGAATAAGGCCACCTGCTCTAGGAAAGTAGAACAGAGATCTTTTCTGGAGGCATACTCCACAACTTACAATATATCTCTCTATATATCTATATATATGTATATCTGTATGTTGTCTTATATCAATAATATTTGAGATATAATATAATATATATTATATATACCCTAAACCCCTAAACCCTAAACCCTTATATGTATATGCAAATATCCTTGCATGACAAAACAGTGGCAGTGGAGGCGACACCTCCATCCGATGGAAGTGCTTCGACAAGGACACCCGGGTCCTCTGGGCGGAAGTCCAGCCAAGATGGAAAAGACGACGAGGACAGTGGAGCCTGTCAGCAGCAGACATGCATTTGTGTTGCAAGCCTTTGTTTTTTTTCATGTGCAGGAGCCAACGGTCAAAGTGGGGGGGCTCACTCTGAGCAGACCTGCTTACAACAAGTGGCGAATGAAGTTGAACCGCATGTGTGCACGAAAGGCTACGTCTGGCAAGCTGGATGTACCAGAAGATATCCACAAGACTTGGCTGGACAAAGGCAGCGGCAAGGACGGACTTCTGGAGACACTGATCAGAAGCAATGGAGACAAGGACCACCTTCAGATAAGTTGTCACAATACTGACACATCATGGTGGAGGTGACTCCAAGTCTATCTCCCAGTCTCCCCACTTCCAAAGTGTTGCCTGCTTCTGTTGTGTCAGAGTGCTGGCTGCCCATTCTTGCTGCCACACCTAATGACTTGCTGGTTTCCATAAGCTGCTCCTCAACGCAGGGCCAAGGGTTATCTGTCCATGCCTGATGTCAATTGTAAACACACATGCATGCTCCTATGGTGTCGTTGGCTTCTGCTGCCTCCAGGAGCAATTTGTCCGACGAGTGACCCTGAAGAAGGTTTCGGAGCGAAGCGTCGAGTTGGATGAAGAGGGGGGGTACTATACTGCTTCGGAGATGGCCAAGCTGTTGTTTTACCCCCAGTGCATTGTCTTGCAAGAAGTTTCCTGTGGCTAGTGCCCCAACTATTCAGATCATCATATCGAACTACAAATCAGATTTATGAGCAATCTGCAAGCAGACAAGCTGTGCTCCAGGGAGATAGATTCCTTCAGTTTTTTTTCTTCCAAGGTTCAAGCTCCCAACTGCAAGTCTGAAGGCTTTATTTGTGCATGATAGTGTAAACCGTTAATGAAGCTACTCAAGGCTCCAAACCCATAGCAATAGTGTGCCGAGGCTGTTTGCCTTATCCTTCAACAACTCTTGAACAACGCGCCTGAGTCCAAGATGCCTCAACTTCTAAATCCCTAAAGCCTGAAGCCCCTTATAAAGGATCCTCCGATCTACAACACATGGCATGGTTTCAGTAGCAAGGGCTTGACCTGCTTATGTACAATCGTGGGAACAGTGTTGGGTGCTTAGTTGGTGCTAGGTTGTAGAGCCAAGTGTTGTCTGTTGTATATAGTTCGATAATATTTATCAACAACAAATGTATAATCAATTTGTGTCTACATGCATTATATAATATATATTATATCTCATGCATGTCTGTGTGTATGTATGTTTGCTTGTTTGTATACATGCATGTATACATTGTTACATATATATATATTATATATATATATATTTGTGTATATATGTGTCTGAGTCTGTGTATATGTCTACACATCATAGTATAATATACATCAGTATGTTGTTTAGGTATGTGTGTATGTATGTTATATATGCATGTATATATGTATATATATACATATATACATATATGCATGTCTTTGACTTAATCATAGTCAAACAGAGCTGCCCTCATTAGCTACTCTTTACCTACGCTCCCAAGGACCCGCATCGACAATACCATCGCCTGGTGCAATGATCCCCAAAACGGTGAGGATCTTGTGCTGCACCTTGGCTGATATATGGGGAAAACAATGCTATCCCACAACATGGTGGGCTCCTGACATGAAATTGTGGCTTGTAGACATGCATGGCTTCCCTTACATGCTGTAGATTGTGTAACGATCCAAGGACTGATCTTGTTGATAAGAAGATCAAGTACTACTGGTGCAGGACCAGGGTCAAGGGAGTGAAACGTGTGAGGAACAGCTCAAGCCTGACGGAGCAAGTTGAAGGGAAAGACAACGTGGATAATTTCGGAACAAGTGGTGGTGTGGCTCCGAATGACATCCCTCTCAAGAAGCTCAACAATAGCTTCGAGACGGGCCTGGATGTAGAGAAGAAGAAAACCGAAGCAATCTTCTTAGTATTATTGGTGAGAGTGTATAGTCTTATTATAACCAACTGGGGTTCATGTCTCAACTGTACTCTATCTCTGCCCAGGCTGAGAGATTGGAATGTGAGGAGAAGGAAATGCTTGCCTTGGGAGAAAAGGTGGCAAACTTGAAGGAGAAGCTTTCAAGCCTGGTGGGAGACAAAGCAGAGCGCGCCAAGGAGACCCTTGACACATAATGCTGCTTGCTGTGTTTCTTGCAAAACATGTAGAATGCTCAATATACATGTTGCTGTCCTGTGGTTGGCTGTCCTAGGTGGATGGCCAAGCTGAATGACTTCAAGAAGAACGTTGATTCTGTCTATGACCAGATCACCGACCTCTCGGCCAAGCTACAAGTCAACAAGACATCATCCGAAAAGGATGAAAAGTCCCTGGGCTACTTAAGAGATCCATGCAGTCCTTCAAAGATCTTAGGGCATGCAGGTCTGTGCATACTGTCTTCAGGACGAAAGCTGCCATCATCGATGTCTTGACAAATGCCAAGAAACAGCCAAGAACTGAGCTACACTGCTGTGTCGCTTCGTGGGAGTGCCCCTCTTATCCCACCATCACTGATGGGTTTGACTCTGCCCAGGTGCAGTGTGTGGAATGGCTTGGACAGAAGCACCCGGAGACTGCCTCAGCCAGAGTGTGACTAGATTTCTGGTTCTGGTTGAAGTATGTCTCCTGACTAAGCATTATATATAAAATATATAATATATACATAGAGTGGTTTAGGGCTTTGGGATGGGGCTTTGATTGTTGCACACCTCCTAACCTCTTTCACCCTAAGGCAGCTGAGACACATGACTTGAAATCTTGCTGCTTTGCTGTTGTTGTTGCTCCAGCCTGTCTTCCTGCACTTTACGTAGTTACTTGTTACTTGAGATGACATGTATACATAAGTGTGTCTGACTTGTCATGGTTGCAGTGCCACGTTGCTTGCTGTTATTGTAATTTATGGTGCTGCTGGTTTTGTTCTTGTGTGTAGGAATAAGCTGTTGTTGCTCAGCTGGCATGGGTAGTGGATGTCATTCCTTTAGCCACTTCAGAGCTTTGGTGGTTTGGTTTTAAGGGGGCTTGACTAAGACGAAGTGCAACTACGAATGCCAGCTGCTTCAGCGGTGGTGGTGGTCGTGGTGGTATTGTTTGGCTCTTGTGGTTCTTGTCCACGGGACATCCCTGGTCATGGTGCTGGGATGGGGGGTTGCGCGGTGTAGTAGAGATATCTCTTATATAGCCTTCATAATGGTTACGGGGTTGTGCTCAGGATGTGGTTGACCCAGTATGGTAAGTGTTCCAGCATAAGGCCTATCTCAAGGGTATGCCTTATGGAATTTGAATCGAGCTAACTGGGAAAAGTCCAGTAGGGTGTTCCATTCCTGCATCAACAGCCAACCATGTCAAAGAATCTCCCCTCAATGCTACTGACAAGTGCAGAGCAGTGCCAACAGGAATGAATTTAAACTCTAAAGCTGCTTGGCCTCACGCCAGAAAGCCCAAAGATGCAAGGATCCAATAATAATCTTACCCACAACCTTAGCAATTCCCTATACCAAACAACCCTCCACCTAAGACCCTGAAACCAGAAGCTTCAGGCTGTCTTGGCTAGTGCGTTGTAGCGTTTGTTCGGGTTCTAGCATGTCAGAATGCCAGTGTATACAAGGAGCACAAGTAAAGTAGGACTGCTGTCGGAGTGGTTGGACTAGTATATAAGATTTAACTCATGTCTAATATATATATGTATTATAACATAGATTATATATTTTTACATATATAGGAGAAGTTTTAGGGATATAATATTGTATATAGTGGGAGTAGCCTGAATTTCAAAAAGGCGGCCTTGCATCAGCAGGAGTAGCTGATGTAGTATACCGTAGTGAACAAATATTCGGAGTACATATTGATAGTGACTTGCTGTTGCTGGTGCAGGTGCTCTCTTGTTTGGTGCCATCCTTCAGGGTATCATCCTATATATGCCAAGGTCACATAGTCCAAATAGCCCGCAGCATCCATAGCAGAAGTAGCAATGCTCCAGCAGCACTGTGATTGCTTTCTGTTTATAGCAGTGTTACAATTATATATTATAAATATGTCATACCTACCTAGGATTGAGGGGCACTTCTCTCGAGGCATTGGGAAAGGCTTTCACCAGGAGTTTCAATCGCAGCTCTTGTCTTCATGCAATCCACCACCACCAACACCACCACATCAGCAGCAGCAGCAGCAACAGCACCACCACCGCCACCGCCAGCAGCACTACCATGACTACTACTAGCACTGCTACTACTACTACTACTACTACTACTACTAGCACCGGGACTACGACTGTATAGTACTTCTACACTACTACTACTACTACTACTACTACTACTATACTACTACTACTACTACTACTACTACCTCTACTACTACTACGACTACCATAACTACCTCTACTACTACTACTGCTACTACTACTACTACTACTCCTACTCCTACTCCTACTACTAGTACTACTACTATACTCCTGCTACTACTACTACTCCTGCTACTACTACTACTACTACTACTATACTACTACTACTACTACTACTACTACTACCTACGACTACTCCTCCTACTACTTCTACTACTACTGCTACTAGTACTATATTGCTA